TCAGGAGATCACTCTTTGTTGGGATCGTCCTCATATAGATCTGTTTGCCACCAGTCTGAATCACAAGTTAGAGACTTACGTTTCCCCCATTCCAGACGAAAAACTTGGGCAGTGGATGCTATGACCCTATCTTGGAAGGAAATGTTCATTTACATGTTTCCCCCCTTTTGTCCTCTTCCCAAGATCTTGCACAAAATTCAGAGGGATCTTTGCAAGACCATTCTTATTGCTCCGGCTTGGCCAAGACAATCTTGGTTCCCAGAACTACTTCTTCTGTGTTGTGCAAAGCCGTTTCGACTTCCTCTAAGGTACGATCTACTTCCAAGGGAAGAAAGATTCATCAGGGTCTAGAAAATCTCCATCTGCACGCTTGGTTACTGTCAGGAATTCCCTCAGAAAGGGAGGCTTTTCTGAAGGAGCAACCAAGCGTATCGCAGGGTCAGTGAGGCAATCTACAGGAGCCGTTTATGACTCCAAATGGTCTATTTTCTCTTCTTGGTGTCAGTCGAAACAGATTGATCCTCTCTCAGTTACTGTGCAATAGTTAGCGGATTTTTTCCTTTATCTTTTTGAAAAAAAGTCTCTACTCCGTCTACTATAAAGGGATATAGATCTGCCATAGCCAGAACTATTGGTCTTTCAGGAGGCTCAGATTTTGGTGATGATGAGTTTTTGTCCTTGTTGATTAAAAACTTTTGCCTTAATAGACCTCGTCAAAGGCGTTTGGTTCCTTCTTGGGACTTAGGTTTAGTCTTGAAGGTTCTTCAGTTTCAGCCTTTTGAACCTTTGCATTCAGCCTCCTTCAAACATTTATCTTACAAATGTTGTTTTCGCAAAGCTTTGGTTACTTGTCGTAGAAGGAGTGAGATTCAAGCCTTGTCTATTTCTGAGTCTTGCCTCCGCTTTGCGGCTGATAAGACCTCAGTTACACTTCTTACTGGTCCTTCTTTTCTAGCTAAGAATCAATTACCTTATAAGTTTCTGGATTAATCACTATTCCTGCCTTACCTGCTTCTACAGGTAATCAGGTTTTGTGTCCTGTGAGAACTTTGCTTTTGTACCTAGCTTCCTCAGCAAAATTAAGACCTGCTGGTTTTCTAGGTTGATCATTCCGATTAAAAAAGGAATTTCTGACATTTCTGCTAAAACCATTTCTACCTGGATTTGCAATACTGTCATGTTGGCCTATAAGTCTGCTTCATCTGAAGTTTTAGCTACTCTTCAAGTTAAAGCTTATGAAGTCAGAGCATTAGCCTCTTCTTGGAATATTTTTAATTCCTCCTCTATGTCGGAAATCATGTCAGCTGGTATTTGGAGGTCAGATATTGCCTTTTATAACCATTATTTACGCTCTATGCCTCTTCATTGTGACAACCTCTATTCTTTAGGACTTTTAGTTGCTGCTCAACAGGTTGTTTTTCCTCCTCTTAGTGAGGGGGATTTTCAGCGCTTCGTTAAATTATGTTTATCTAAATTTAGGATGGTGAGGTATTTAATGTAATAAAAATCAAATTTTTAGTTTAGAATTAAAATTTAGTTTTGTAAATTAAATACTCACCTTCATAAATCAGAGGTCCCGCCCCACTCCCCTTTATCCCCCTTGGTGCCTGGCAATTCAAGGAACAAATGATGAAGGTTTATGGCGCGCATGCGTCAGGTGGGAGAGTTTGTCACAGGGGTATAGTTCTTTTTTCTGGCTGGTTTTGTGGTTGAATAATGCATCGAGTGGACTGATATCTAAATTTATGAAGGTGAGTATTTACTTTACAAAACTAAATTTTAGTTCTAAAAATTTGATGTTTAGAGTCATTATAGTTGAAACGAATATGAAAACCTAGAGACACACCGCGCATGCGTTTTTTCCGCCTTTATACATATTGATACTTAGTAAGATAATCCAAAGGTAACAAATTAACTGAAAAAGGGGTATAACCAAATCAATTATTTTTTTCGATTAATACTAATTGATACGGGGAGAGTTTAGAGGAGGGTTTGCGCTGGTCTCGACGATGCCTAGCTATCTTTCGCAGAATGTGAAGAACATAAGACGAGGGGATAATGATAATAAGAAGAAAACGACTCTCGGACTATAAAAGCAATTATTTTGAAGGTTAACACATTTTAATTTCTAAATATGATTTAAGAGATGTGAAGTATACAGAAATAATTAAGACAGGCAATCCAATTAATCGACACACACAACTTCTTACTTCTAAAGTTCAAACAGCGTATGTCTCTTACAAGTTATAAAGTCTTCTAAAATGGACATATTATGTCATTACAATATATTTAGCTTTTAACCCTCTAAGGTCTAGCTAGATATAGAATAGTTGTGAATATATGTTTAAAAAATATGGCAAAAAATGAATACTTGTTTTTGAGATTTATTGACTATTTTTACTAAACATCCTATACGAAAGAGAGAAAGAAAATATATATATAAAATAGGAAAATACTGTTGGCATCGGATTTTTTGAAATGGATGATTTCTAGAGGAATTTAAAATCATGTAAACACATACAAACAATATGATAATAAAACAGAAAGACATCTACATGTCAACATATAAACGCTCTCCCACAAAAGATTATGTCAATTTAGCATATTTAGCTTGGAAGGTTAAGTACGAAAAAGGCCTTATTTTTCTCTCAATATCAAGTCCACCAATAAGTGAAATAGAATAAATTTTGTCGAACGCTTCGATAGTTACGTTGGAATGTATTATTATACCTGAAAAAAGGCCTAAAAAACAGACTTTGAGGAAATTTTCCAAATCTTGTGGATTTCAACGAAATTTAGGCTTAGATGGTATAAAGCGCAGTATTCGACAAACTAATTATTTGAGTCAGATATTTTATTTATTATAACATGTATTATAAGCCTAATGTTGCAAGATCTTTTTGTTGAATTCTGCGCTAGCGCTGTTTCCGGTTCTGAATACGAATGTAAATTCGCGGCCTGCTTTCTTTGTGTTTGTTGGGAAATTAAAATTGATGTTAACTGTGTCGTCAAAGAATGATATCTAATCTAGTTATTGTTTTAAAAATGTTCCATTGTTTTAACAGCCATCAATCAAAATTTGAAATTTAAGCTCGATATACTAGACTAGTAATAGTTTGGTCTTGTCCAATTCACTCCTTCTCATTTAATTAGTTTTGAATGACAAAAGGCAGATAAAAGATTGTCAATACCAAACTTACCATCTACTTATGTCACCTCTAAAATTTGGTAAATTACTTCGGTGGGGAGTTCTTTCCATTTTAAAGTTTCTTGATTTTGCTCCTGTACCTTTACCTCAAAAACGTTATCATTTATAAAATCATCTTGTTAGAAAGCCATACTATTATTACTTATACTTTCACTTTCTTTTAAAGTTTTTTTTTCATAAATAGACTCATCGTTTAAGTAATTAGACTGTAAAGGAGAACTAGGAGGACTGTTGCGTATTCCAAAGGTAAACTCATTATCATCATTGAAATAGGCATGTTTAATTCTTCCCATAATTATATATTTTACTAAAAATAACACTTGCTTTTTATTTCAATTTTTTATTGTTCCCTAAAGAGACAAACTTTCGGAAGAAAAGGAAATAAATCAATTGACATTATAAAAATTAAGACTTGTCGTACAAAAGTAAGATATGTTGAACATATAAGGTGGTCATCTATTAAACAGATATACTATAACAGTCAACCAAATCATGAGGCCTTCAGGAAAACTTTCGAACAAATGACTTCAAGTTATCCATTAAGATCATTCGATCATTTGCTTCTTTGTAAGCTTTCTTAAGTGTTGTTTTCATTATTTATAGCACTGAATCGATACCGCTGCTGATGGACTATCAGCCCCCGAGGGTTTTATCAACTTAGTAGTCCGTACTTCGGTACTAACATGACTTATATCAAACATATCTAAAAAATTATCAGTTCATAGATTAAGGACATATACAGAAACTCAGGTTTCAACTCCCTTGCAAAGCTGACCTAAGATGGATTTGGCTGTTTTTCTATGTCATTTTTTTTGGTCATATGGCTCCCCAACTGCTTACCCAGCTGTGGCTATATATTTTGTCCTTTTGGTTTATAAGCTCTTCATCTATTTAACAAGTTTTGGATTTTCAAATATTTTGGCCTCGAGCATCGCTGAAGAGACATTTATTGTCGAAATGCGCATCTGGTGCAGAAAATTTAGAACCGTTAATGTTACTACTCCCACTGTGGGTCGATACTTCTGTGGGTGAACTTTAAGTCCCCATGGGTATCACTAGCTCAGTACTCTGTACATCGGCACTTGCATAAAAAAACGAATATTGTGTTATAAAAATTTGCTGCTACAAAATTTGAGAAATTTTTTTAAATCAAGGAATCTATCGCCTTCATGAAAGCTTTGCTTTCTTTCCCGTTTGGCTATACATTATGTCAATTTTTTGTTTGTTCATTAGCTCCTCATCTTTTTAATACTCTTTAAATTTTCGTTAGTAACCGAGGTAATTATCAGCTCAATACTAGGTTCTTTGGTACTGGAATGATTTACAACATGATACCTTTATCACATTCTCCGTTGATAAATATCTAAAATTTAAAGAAACCAATGTTCCAACTCTTCCTCAGGCAAAGATGACCCTAGATGAATTTAGTTACACTCCTTTTTTTGTCATATACATGAAGCTCCTAACTTTTTCAAGTTTTTATACAACCTTTGCTTTCAATTGTTTTGGTTTGAGCATTGCTTATGAAGGTCGATCTAGAGCTTCAGACGCACGAAGTTTATTAATTGTTTCCATTTCCAACTCTCATTGTCATTTTCTGGTGTAAAACACGTAGCGAAGCGACAAATACAGAAAAACACTTTCAAAACTTTATAATTCCAAAAACCTGTAGTCTGTTTAGGTTCTGTAAAACACGTGGCGAAGCGACAAATACAGAAAAAAACACTTTCGAAACTTTATATTTCCAAAAACCTGTAGTCTGTTTAGGATCTGTAAAACTTAAAAACTCAGATCTAATTACATTGTTTATTTTGCAGTGTATCTTAACTTCTAGTATACATGTACACATAGTAAACCGAACCTGTAAGAAATCATTCCCGAATTATCTCACTAGTAAATGAAGTTGTCCTTAGAGTATAAAGTTAATGAACTTTTTATCATTATAAATAATAGTCTCGACCAACCAGGCGCTTCATGCATATACATATGTAGTAATTATTCGCAGTAAGAACGATAACTCCGGTGTAACGAGACTAGATACATAACAAAAAATATTGGTGAATGAACTGACCCTTCCAGTCACTAATCAGGAGGTGGTGAAGCGGCTGTCCTTTGTATTTCATCGAATTTTAGTGATGATCGAAATACTTATTTACTATAGAGACCTAACGATAAATTTTAAATATTTGGTAAATAAGTCGGGCACAAATTATCAGATATTGTACAATTATAAGAAAAAGATGAGGTAAAATTTCAAACCAAATTCGAACTTTTCTATAATTTATTTTTGGAGATTTATAGGACTCAAGAGGAATTTAATTATTCCCTATCAGCCTGTCAAGTTTGGTGTTGATCGTAATCCAATGAGTAGTAAAAAAAACTTTAGAATTTGAAAACATTCTTTTAAAATGTCTCTTAGTGGTACGTATTGCAGCATTTTTTTTTTGTTGAAGAGGAGTCCATCAAAGATTTAGTTATATATATCTATATATATATATACAAAAAGTGTTAATATTTTTTTCTAATTTACAATACGCGACTTGTTAACTTCTATTTACACAAAGCCAGATGTGTTCCCTTATACATAAAACTTTGTAAAGGGCACCACGTCTGAAGTTGTGTGCATTTATGCATTACATAAATGTGTATTTATATATTAAATGTATATATAATATATAAGTATTATTAATAACAATATGCTATGTTACAACTGTCTTGTATTCCAAAGAAACATATTCCTTTCCATTACGTTTTGACATTGTTAATATAGCGCCATTTTTTCTTTCATCTGTCACTAATTCTAGAAGTCCTTCTGCTACTTCTTGTGTCCTACAAAATGAAATGCAATAAAAGTCATCAAGAGCATTCTCACACAGTATTGAGGACCTTAATGGGGTCGGCTGCAGTTATCATTTAAAATGTATGTTTTAATCATGCCAATACAAAACAATTTACATATGAGTGGATAGCACCCTGGGAATTAAACAGGTCAACACTGATAAGTGTAGTAATAGAAATAGAAATAGAAATAGAAATCTTATATATGATGTCAATTTCAGTGCGAATAATTTATGTAATACCTCACCACGTACTTTACATGCCAATCGTTGGGAAACAAACTACTTAGAATGTTTGGGAGTATGTAAAAACCAAACGCAAAAACTAAACGGAACTGCCAATTGTTTTTGACAAGATGTTTAATGGGTTATAACATTCAGATAACAAACATAATAGAGAAATTAACCTTTGAACCTTACTATAAGTGACTTTATTTTCAAATAATTACATTAGATACGTTATTTTGATTGGCTAACAGCAATCTCGCGTCATTCTTCATTTCAAAATGAATTTCATGAATTGTAACATACATGATGACACACGTTTCCACAATAAAGTGTACAGGTAAATAAAAGAAAAAAATGATAGTAATCGTGTTTTCATGATCATAGCGAAAAAATGTAATTATAAGTATTGAATGCTTCTTTTCAGTAATTTCATAGGGTTGTAAAAGCGTTGACTGTGCGTACATTTTCAGAATGAAGCGCTTCCGCGCTTCATACAAAATGTACTTCGGTCAACGCTTTTACACCCCAATGAGTTTACAAAAAGAAGCATTCAATTCTTAATTGCAACTATGGGTCAGAAGAATTATGAATTATCTTTACAAATGGTAGTTTTCTTTTTCTTTTGAATGGTTTCACATTTTGCTTGGTCAAACTAGTTTTAAATATCAGCCCTCCGCCTTTTAATCTCGATGAGTGGGCCATAAACGTAACGTACATAAAAGAATAATTACATTACATGTATGTTTCAGAAGAATCCGTTATTTTGATTGGATAACAACGCTTGCGCGTCATACTAAAATTAACCTTCATATCCCAATGAAGTGTAACATTCATGATGACACGTGCCATCACAATAAAGTGCACAGGTTAATTAAAGAAATAAATGATAGAAATCGATTTTTCATGACCCGAGCATAAAAATGTAGTTATATGAATTGAATGCTTCTTTTAGTAATTTTTAGAGTTGTAAAAGTGTTGATCGTGTGCACATTTCTAGAATGAAGCGCTTCCGCGCTTCATACAAAATGTGCTTCGGCCAACACTTTTACACCCAAATAAAATTACAAAAAGAAGCATTCAATTCTTAAATATACAATAAAAAATCAGTACAGATAAAACACTCCACAATCAAGGAATAATTGAAAAACAAATACTCTAAATAATAATCGTGTCGTATTAAAGAACGTTCGTAGTTATTGGAAGCAAGCTCCTAGAGTACTAAGCCTGCTGATAAGAAATCGTGCCGTCCTATACACTCAGTTCAGTTCAGTTAATTACGGGTAATATGAAACAGTCTATCCAGATAGACCTTGTCAACAAAAAATCGTATTATTGATAAGTAAAGGAAATTGTCATATATCATTACTTATGTCTAACTGTCAAGTATAAAAAAGGCGAGAAAAACAAAATGGACATTTAAAACTCATATTTTGGAAGAGAAACTAAAATCGACGTGGCTTTCAACAAAAGACGACGAAAAGAGAAATAACCCTATTAAACAGGCTTTCATTAAAAGACGACGAAAAGAGAAATAACTCTACAAAACAAAACATAGAAAACTAAAAACCTAACAACACGAACCCTCTCAAACACTGTGGCTGATCTCAGGTGCTCCGGAAGGGTAAACAGATCCTATAATGTGAAGTCAAGCATATACTATTTAAATATCAGATAAGATGTCAAGAAAGTTACAGTTAAACGAGTATGTTTTATATGTGATGGTGCTCACGTCTAAATCGTTTATCTAAAGAATTTCAGTCAAGTAAACTAATTACTTTTTGTCTGACATAATTTGTTTTCTTGAAGAATTGAAGGTTGTCGTATTTAGTACAGAACAAGTAACATCATTCAGTATACGTATAGTAAACAATGAACAAATCGTCTCATGTTATGTTTTAAATCTACACAAAATCCCTTTCATTAGTATCTATGAATAATAAAGCGGAATAACAAAAAAAAACTAGATATAAAGCTTATTACGTAAAATTGAAATGAATAACCAAAATGATATTGTTTATTGTCAAATGATTGATGCTTCTCTTTATCGTTTATATAAATTGTAGTTTTGAACTTGAATAATAAGTCGAAGGTCAATGTGTTTCATATTTTATTTCTATTTGTGATCGTCAGTCTAATTCCTTTCCCATTCATGGGATTGAAAATGTGAACCACCATCCTCAATATTAAAATCAATTTGAAAGCCAAGAATCTATACGGCATAAAGAAAATAAAATTGAGAATGGAAATGGGGAATGTATCAAAGAGACAACAACCCGACCAAACAGCAGAAAACAGCCGACGGCCACCAATGGGTCTTCAACACAGCGAGAAAATCCCCCACCCGGAGGCGAGCTTCAGCTGGCCCCTAAACAAAATGTGTACTAGTTCAATGAAAATGGACGTCACACTAAACTCCAAAACATATAAATGAACTAAAATTAAAAAACATACAACACTAACAAAGGCCAGAGGCTCCTGACCAAGGCTTATGACCAAAAGAAACGCGAGTTTAACCTACAAAACAATCATCAGTGACATCGAAAAAAAACAAGTTAAATGCAAAATAAAGTACGAAGATAAGGACCCAAAATTCCAAAAGGCTTTGCCAAAAACAGGTAAGGTAATCTATTCCTGAGGTAAAAAAAATCCTAAGTATTTTCAGTTACTTCACTACATCAATGATTATTGCTGGTAAAGTATGTTGAATGACTTCATGTTATTACAAATTATGTCATAATGCACACAAACTCACGTCATAATGCCAATTTTATCGACAAATTCCTTGACTTTGTTACCATTGACACTGTCATCTTTGAACAGGTCTCTGACCAACGGTGTGTCAGCAAATGCTGGACAGATGGTATTTATACGTACACCACCATTGACCACATCTTCATTACACTGTTATAGTAAAGAAATATTTATGTTAATAAGAATATCGAATTATTATTTGTCGAGTTTGATTTGTATCAGCAATAATGGCTAAGTTTTATACTAATTTTGCATAAATAGAATAATTACAAGAAAATCAGAGGATATAAAGAGCATTCTGTCAAAGGTTAGAAGCTAATGCAGCTTTACAAATTATTTTGAAACTAAAACCTTTTAAAAAAACATCTTTAAAAGATTATGGTCTCCTTAATGTACACATTACACTTATACCTACAATTGCACCTTAATGTGCATAATACTGACTATTGCAATACATTAACTTACTTACAGCTAAACTCTGACTAAATGCTACTACCCCTGATTTGCTGGCACAGTAAACCGGACTTAAAGGATTTGCTCTCAAACCTGCAAGGAACGATAATAGATTAATGTTATCATACTATTTGGTGTTTTTTTTTGTCTTTATTTTTATTTATTTTTTCTCATTCTCAGGTATAAAAACAATAACAAATAAAAGATTCGATGCATGGAAGCATATTCTTTTCTTGGCAAGAAATGGCAAATTGTCCGGTAAATTAATGTGAAAGTTTGAGGTATAAGTAAGTTCTGGCTATTTTAATAACTGGTTAGATATTTCCCTTTAATTCTTTCAAAGTAATCGATTCATAAATAAAACGGAAATGGACTGTATTGTGTTTATTCAGAGAAATGAAAGGTTTGCAAAGTTTTCCTTCCTGTTTTGTGTCGAGTGCAGACGTTAAACATATTCTCATAAAACATAAAATTTTATCATCCAAAATAAAATTCGAACTTAGCTAGACAATGGTATTTTGATTGTTTGAACGATATGATGGATATCAGGATGTAGCACTCTTCCTAATGTTTCAAAAGAATTAAAAAGGAGATTACAAATCACATAAATGGTAGGGTATGGAACGCCTCAGCTGTCTTATGTGGAACTCTGATATTACTTTATGTTGTTTTATTATTACTTGATGATATTTTGTCTTTACTTAATATGGTTTTGACATTACGTAATGATGTTTTGATATAACTCAATATGGAATTGCCATTACTTAATGATATTTCGATATTACACGATATGGTTTCGTATTGACTTGATATAGTTTTGTCATTAATCAATATGGTTTTGTCATTACTCGATGTGGTTTCACCATTATTTAATGTGGTTGTGTCATTAGTCAATGTGGTTTTAACATTACTTGATGTGAATGTGACTTAACGTTATGTAGTTGTTTCATTACATGATGTGGTTTTGTTATTTCGTAATGATGATTTGCCTATTCTTTATATGGTTTAAACATTACGTAATGATATTTCAAAATTTGACGATTTTACACTACATGATGTGTTTGTTTCATTATTTGATGTGGTCCTGTCATTCTTTGATGTGGTTATCCCATTACTTGATGAGGTAAAACCACGTGACCAATTCGAAAAAAAAGATGTTCTATTTTTAAACAGATTTCAATATATCATTTGTTTAATGTGCTTTGGATGGGTATCGCTATCCATTGAGTTAAAGTTCAAATTAAAGTTCGAGTGGTTGTTCAGAGTTATTAAGCATGTAAAAGGTAACCGGCAGGCAATACTAAGAAAAAAGTATTAAAAAGTTTACAGTATTTCTTACATAATTGGGATATCCCCAAACCACTTTGTCTTGTTGTTTTTATCCTAAGTTCTCAAACGGAAGCAGTATTTTTGTAATAAATTTGTAAAATATTCCACGGAACCCTATGTCTCGCCTGATATTGCTGCTGTAAGTGAAAAAGCGTCATGTTGATCGGCTGTACATTTATCTATACATTTATCGGTAAAAACAAAATTGAAAAAAAATGTTTTTCTGTAGATGCTTCTTCTTGAAATTGAGGAATAACTCCATAGATAGATAGATAAATAGATAGATAGATAGATAGATAGATAGATACTTTATTCTCTAAAAACTAATTACAAGTTTACAGAGAAACATACAAAATAAATACAGATACAATAGTTGAGGTAAACAAATACAGTATGATATTCTAAAAGTACAAAATTATAATGGCATACGTGTTTAGTAACATGTATAATGAAAGGTTAAACTCAATAGAAATAAAAAAAAATGGAGATGGAGACGCCGACGCCACTATCGACGACGAAATATAGGTTTGTTGGGTCTCACTGCCGCTACATTGATGTCGCAGGCTCGACACAAATCAAACGACTTGAACTTTAATGTTAACAAATGAAGCACTTCAAATCAACTCACACTAAAGTTACAGGGAAACGGGGGGAGGGGGCTCGGACTTAGCGACAAAAGCATCAATACTATAAAATAAGAATTCTCCGATTTTTTTTTAGCGTAAATGATCATTTTAACTTATACAAGTATCAATCTTTTATTTGTAATCAATTGAATTCCCTGATCTACCTCGCACTAATTGAAAAATACACTTTTTGGAATATCTGTTTCACATGTGACGACGGACATGTTCCAGTGGTCGTAACCATAATACCGTCATCTTTTTCTTGAATGTGAACTACCAAATAAAACCAAATCACTGGGTTTGTACTTTCTCAAATAACACGACGGGTGCCTTTCTGGAGCATCCGAGATCACCCCGATGGATTTATATTACCCAGTCATACCGATCTATTGAGTCGGCCAAATGAAACTGTTTTGTATGCCACCGCAACTGAAAGTTGGAAGGGGGGGCATATTGTTTTACCCCTGTCCGTCCGTCCGTCCGTCTGTCCGTCCCATTATGGGTATATAGTTATTCCGCATAACTCCTCCTACAGTTTGAATCCTAGGAAGTTTTCTCTTTACTGTCTGTTTGTCAATATATTGAATGTGTGCATGTGGTCAGGGTTTAATGTTTATTAATATTTGCTCTTTTGGGAGATAGTTGAACTTTGTAATTTTTCGGGAAATTTACTTGCATAAGAAGAGCGTTTCCAGATAACTCCTCCTACAGTTTGAATGCTAGGAAGTTTTCGCTCTGCTGGCTGTTTGTACATATATTGAAGGTGTGCATGTGGTCAGGGTTTTTATTTTTATTATCTTTTGCTCTTTTGGGAGATAATTGAACTTTTTTTTGTCATTTTTGGGGTATTAGCGGTTAAATGAGTTGAGTGCGGGGCATCACTTTGTCTAGTTTACATTTTTTTCTCGTGTTGTTTTGTTACACAGTGTAACAGTCCGATGTAAGGTTAGGATTTAGCGCTCACATACATGTTAAACTCCGCCACGTGCACTTTCTTTATGTACCTGCCCCAAGTCAGGAGCACGAAGTTCAATTGTTGTCGTTGTATTAATGTGTGTCATTTTTTTTGTAGATTGTTTAAATATAAATAAGACCGTTTGTTTTTTCGCTTGATTTTTTTCACATGGTGCATGGTGGCCTTTTATAGCTGACTATATGGTGTGTTGAAGGCTGTACGGTTGCCTATATATGATTTCTTACATCCACTGCATTTAAACTCTGGTGGATAGTTGTCTCATTGTCAATCACACCCCATCTAACTTTATTTCAACTTCTATGTTGCGTTTTGTATACTGTAACATTGTTTATCTTTTGTACGCATACCCCGGAGCCGGCCTCTTTTCGGAACTTAGCAAAAGTCCTTGTTCCGCGATAGAAAATTTAATTACGAACTCATATAAGATAGTACGAATTTCAACTCAAAATCTTAATTAATCTAAATGAGACTTAAATTTGAATCTTACTCAAACTCAAAAAGTGACTCAAATTTAATGGTGTAACTAAAACTCTACCTTTAAATGTGATTTTACCTCATCAAGTAATGGGATAACCACATCAATGAATGATAGGACCACATCAAATAATGAAACAAACACATCATGTAGTGTAAAATCGTCAAATTTTGAAACATCATTACGTAATGTAAAAACCATATAAAGAATAGGCGAATCATCATTACAAAATAACAAAACCACATCATGTAATGAAACAACTACATAACGTTAAGTCACATTCACATCAAGTAATGTTAAAACCACATTGACTAATGACACAACCACATTAAATAATGGTGAAACCACATCGAGTAATGACAAAACCATATTGATTAATGACAAAACTATATCAAGTCAATACGAAACCATATCGTGTAATATCGAAATATCATTAAGTAATGACTATTCCATATTGAGTTATATCAAAACATCATTACGTAATATCAAAACCATATTAAGTAAAGACAAAATATCATCAAGTAATAATAAAACAACATAAAGTAATATCAGAGTTCCACATAAGACAGCTGAGGCGTTCCATAGTAGGGTATTGTATGTTTATACAATATACTAGTATATAACTCTAGTACACACCGTATTGATATCAGTATTTGTGTAAGCGTATGGTACAAAAGAATTGTATAAGCTTAAATAGTATGGGGATTAATAGAATAGAAAAAAGTATACATCCCGTCGTCCCCTCGTCTACAAAACCGTTGCAAATCAAAAGAAGAAATTTCAAAGGGAATGTCTGAACTTACCTGCTGCAGACGATACATTAACGATCACGCCACCATTCCCGCCTCTGTCTGTTCTAAGATAGTCCAGACCAAGAAATGTCCCGCTGATCATTCCTTTCTGCAATAAAGAAAATAGATTCAAATAAGACAAGACTTTACAAGGTCATACGTTTCTCAGACTGTTTATGACGTCTTTACACAAAATCCGTTGGATGTGTACTGAATGGTACTTTAGTCTGGGAGAACATGGTTTATCTATTAGTTGTAATTGGCTTTGAACAAGCTTTCAGTTACTGCAATTTCTCTCATAACGGTGATTTGTGTCTATTGTTTTTATGTTTGCTGTTTTTTGTGCTTCGTGCCGATCTTTTTCGTTAAGCCAATTGCAACTGTTCTTTATAGTTTGTTCTTATGTTGTGATGTTACACCATGCCATTGTCCACGGTAAGGGCGCTCACAAACAACCCCTCCACATTCTTTGTGTGCCTGTCACAAGTCAATAGTCTATAGTTCAGTGGTTGTCGTTGGTTCATGGCTGTCATATTTGTTTTAGTAACTTGTATTTTTATAAATTAGGCCGTTTGTTTTCTCGTTTGAATTGTTTCACATTTTTTCATGTCGGGAACTTGTATAGTCGAATATACAGTATGGATTTTTGCTCATTGTTGAAGGCCGTGTAGTAACCTATATTTGCTTATATCTATTTCATTTGAACTCCGATGGATAGTTGTCTCATTGGTAATAATACCACATATCTTTATTATTACATTTATACTGTAACTGTGATATAAGTGCTGTCAACTCTTAAATCGGAGTGTTATTCCATTAATGAGTTAAGAATACTCAAACTACTTGTTCGCGAAATCACATGGGCCTTGTAAAAAAACATTTCCTATATTTTTTTCTGATTAATGTTTCATTTCTAAACATTTTTCAATTTAGAAATTACCAAGATTCCAATCAAAACTACAAATTGAGTAGGCGCAGACATAAGCATGACCATTAAAAAAGACGAAAGACAACAGTCCACAACAAAAGTATACAGAAATCTAGAGTGTGAGCAACACGAAAATCAAGCATATAAATATAGAACTCGGGTTACCGAGCAGGATGTTCATCTCCTGTTTCGCTAGAGAGATCACGTGCTGCTCATGTAAGTTAATTCGACACCTTCGATGATGGCCAATAACGAGGAAAGGTGGTGTACATAATACACCAGTTTCACATTTAACTGCGCATGTCTAACCTAATTAGTCAAACTGTGAAATCACGCGATAATTCCCGAGAGTTCACCAACTTTATTAACAATGACACATTAAAAGATTTTTAAACGGACTACTGTTGTGTTGTAGAGTAACAGACGATCTAATATGCCGCCTGACGTTGTACCTTTAATTGTCACGAAGACATGCTTGGATTCCCACTGAGGTCGTTCCCTAGCGGGAAGAATAAAATAGAAACAAGTTGCTTTTAAAAAAAAAAAAGACAATACGTGAACCTTAGAACTTTTTTATTCTAATTATTAATTCAACTGAATAAGAAATTATATATCAGTGTTATCTTGGCCATGTGTGTGGAGGATAATATTTTCTTTTTATTGTAAATCATTACAATTTTGGCATGTTGAGAGAAGTGTTAAATATAAAGCAAGGAGAGAGAAAAAAAAGATTCCCAGACGTATAATTTCTTAAAGAATAATACGAATTCAAAACATGGAGGATACATGTACCTTCTTCCAAAAATTCATAAAATTAATCTAGAAATAAGTAATGAGGCATTGCGAACTGGTCAGCTAGCAGTACACATTAATGTTCGTTACCGACCAATCATCAATAAGTGTAACTCTCCCGCGAGAGATACTTACTTCATCTAATTATAAATATAAAAAAGAAGATGTGGTATGATTGCCAATGAGACAACTCTCCACAAGAGACCAAATGACACAGAAATTAACAACTATAGGTCACCGTACGGCCTTCAATGAGCAAAGCCAGTACCGCATACTAAGTAGTCAACTATAAAAGGCCCCGAAATGACAAATGTAAAACAATTCAAACGAGAAAACTAACGGCCTAATTTATGTACAAAAAATGAACGAAAAACAAATATGTAACACATCAACAAACGACAACCACTGAATTACAGGCTCCTGACTTGGGACAGGCACATACATACAGAATGTGGCGGGGTTAAACATGTTAGCGGGATCCCAAACCTCCCCTAACCTGGGACAGTGGTGAACAGTACAACATAAGAACGAACTATAAAAATCAGTTGAAAAAAGGCTTAACTCATCAGATGGATACAAACAGAAATACTACACAGAGTGGACGTGGCCGGGTACTTGTATATCCAACAACAAATAGAAACTAAGTACAGATCTGAGAATACTCGCAGTTACTGACAGCTAGTTCAAAGCCACTAACAACTAATTTAAAAAATCATGCATCTAAGACTAAATTATCAATTAGTACACATCCAATTATTGAAGAGGCATAACTTTTACATTCAAGATACAAAAAAATCATTAATAAAATAGAGTCACACGAGGTAAAAAAAGTATGCATTCTTATTGCCTATGATGTACGTCAATGTACACAAATATGATCATTGATAATTTAGAAGAAACTGTTATCAATGCATTAGAATTTATTGACACACAGGAGAATATACTTTAAAGATTCTCAACAAAATAGATTTAACTGCATTTGTCAAATTAATTCTTTGAAACAATGAATTTGAGTTTAATGGACTGTTATACAAACACATTATAGGAGCGCCCATTGTCACCAACATGCACAGATGCATCTGTCTGCCCTATTCATTAAAATCTTAGATAAGTTCCAATGGAGAGAAAACATCAAATTACACTGTCAATAGGGATGACGGTTTTATGGTCTTCACAGGCAAATTATAGAGCAAGTTGAAGATTTCCTTAACCTTGCAAACGAAATTGACCATCTACTTAAGTTCTAATATGAGGTGTCGACATCTAGTATGACCTATTTAGAGGGTGGTAAAGGATTATTTTCGTGCAACGTTTTCGGCCTTTTTATTTCACGTGTTTCCGTGTTTCGACGTTTTATTTCTCGTTTTCTCGTGTTTGGTTCGATGTGCGAGCTTCATGTTTTCCCTCAATTATTTTCCGTGTTTCGTGTCGGTACTCTTATTTTCTCGTGCTTGTCCCGCATTTGATTAAAAAGTAAACCGGGACAAATTCAAAGTCAGCCCAAATATTGTTTTAAATTATAAACTAATTAACTGGTCCCAAGATATTTATTAATAGCTTATTGTATTACTATGATAAATCGGATGCAACTAACGGACGCTAAAAGGTGACCACATGCAGGGTCGCCATGTCCATTTATAATGACTGCATGATCTCAAAGAACGGCTGAGTAATAACTTTTGGTACTTTTTTCCTTAATATTTACGATTTTATTCCATGGCTTCGTTTTTCCAGAGTGTTTTTTTACCGTGCATCGTTTTTGCGATTTGTTATTTCACGTGTTTCCGTGTTCAGACCCTCCCTTTTACCACCATCTATTTAGATACCGAAGTGTACAAAAGTGAACGATTCCATAATAATGGAATTCTTGATGTTAAGTCACATATATTAAAAACACAGAAACGTATCAATATTTACCAGTCACTAGTGCACATCCAAAACACACATAAATTTAAGAGTATTACAGTGTGTGAATAATATAAGAAATTTCTACTTCTACCACTAAGTGACCACCGTAATTTGGTTGACTATCCTGTCACTGTTTGGTGTGCGCTTGCATACTTAACAAGTCCAAACATAATTTTAACAGAAAGGAAATAATTTGTGTTGTACATAACATTTATACATGGTGCAAATAAAAACATGGGACTTGAAATTTAATGTGCATGCAGTAGTCTCTTGAACGAGTCAAGACTTTCTACAGCGGTCACTGAAATAATAGTGACATCAATGAATTAAATAAACATTTAATTAACTTACTAGATAACTTAATTGATAGAGAATACTGTAAAAAGGAAACAGTAAAAGTTGTAAAAATGTATGTTAACGAACAGTCTTTATTTTACTTGTTTTATTTTCATTTGAAACAGATTTTTTTTATCTGATTTGTCAAAATGACAAGTGTGCATAATGATTTTATTGTTACAAATCAAATCCCAAAGCCCACTATAACTCATTATGTAGAAACCACAGCACTATTTTAAAATATCTCTCTGTGAATATCTAGAAACAGATGTTTGATACCATAGGTCGTTATAATTAAATCTTGACCATTTAACTTTCACTTGTTTATCAAAGGTTACAACTGTCAACTTTGCTCAAGTCAGTAAACCCTTGCAATGCATAAAATGTAGCTTAACAATAAATATACATGTTTGAAAAGGATCTATAGATTGCTTATTATCATATATATCAGATAAGTGAATTAGCGGTCTGTGAAAATTCTTTATTGCCATGTTTTAAATATCTTAGATACACCGCTCTTAATTGCAGGAAGCTAATACAGATAATATGAATAGGTATTCCGAATGAACAATAATTTAGCTTCCGAATATTCCTCCATAGACTATATTTCTAACTAATAAATATGCGTGAACCCTCAGGGGTTCACGCAAAAATAAGCGGGGGTCACTTCATATCCATATATTAGGTCACTGATCAATTAAGAGGTCAATTAACACCTTAGCCATGTGGAATCCTAGTTTTACCTTGTACAATCTCACCAGGTGACAATTGATAAAAACGTAGCCTTTTCTGCATACAGTTGCTGAAAAGGGGACGACCATTTGATATTCTGACGGAAGCCAGAAGAATTTTTTCGGATTGAATATTCATCGTCATCTGTTGCTACCTGGGAATATTATACTGTCAATCACGATTTAATGTCCCAGTTGCTACGTACGCATTCTTTTTCTTTTTTTGCTGCGCAATTATTTCCTGCATTTTGTAATACAGATGTTAAAAATGTAAACCCTGTTTCTGTATAAGATACATGTACATAATTTACACTGAGATATTACGGTTAATGAAACTAGATATATTTTAATAATTCAGGAGGGGTCATTTAGCAATTTGATCTTATATCATGGTAAAGCAGGATATTCAATTACTGATAATGATATCTTATTGTAAATTCATTCATTATTAATCAGAATAAGAAAATAGATAATTTTTTACATAACAAGGATTTTACTAGTACTACGTCCGAAGGATATGTCCACATTTTCTAATTATAAAACCAAATACATGTTCTAAAGAATATATAATTGCATTACCTGTTCTTAGAGACACTCAAAATGTTAGAGTGTTGAAATACAATATGTTATGAGTAAGTAAATGTATACATGAACGCATGCTATTTAATCAATATAAGTAATGACAGCTGTATAATAAAAATTAAAAAAAAACTACATCATTTGTTACAAAAATCTAATGTGCATGTCTTTCTACACGTTTCAAATCCCTGTATATGTACAATACATAAGAGCTACGTTCGCCGTGACAAACGTACTGTGTACTGGTATCATCTGTTTGCCTGCCTCCAGCACACACCAAGAGAGAGAGATGTGTATTATCGGTATTTATTATTGTGTTGCCAAATATAAGGGTAAATTGGATAGCCCCCAACCCGAATGATTCAGTTCCTCCCCGTAATCGATCTCTCCTACTTGCGTTAATGAAGTAATCGTAGATCAGCGGAATATACCGACTGAATTATTCGGGTTAGATAGCCCCTGTCACGTATGATATCGTTAATTATCGCGGGATTTAAACTAAAACGCGCATATGATTTCGAGAGCAGGGTTGATAAGTCGCTTATGGTGTAACACCACTAATTCGGGCCCGGCCAGAAAGCACATACCAGAAAGTAGTACATATTTAACACAAAATAGTTCCTACGCATGAGTGTAACTTTCAAAATATGTAGAATATTTAGGTATTTTTGGTATCAAATGAAAGCTGAATGACTGGTGATCATTGTAGAACACTTTTTGACTAATAATTTTGAATATTAAAAAAACTGCACCAAATTTTAAAAAGAGGGTACATTTTGCCTGTTTGTCAGATCTGAAGTACCTGTTTTGGTACATCCGAAGTTCCGGGAACCAGTTCTTTCTTATATGCCATTAAAGGTATGTTGATTTTTTCAGTACAAGACACCATAGAGTGTTGCTTTGACATGCAATGATTGTCACTTTATTTGAACTTAAAACAAAAGAGCTATGCCTGCTTGAAATTGAGGAATTTAACATAGAAAGCAATGGGGCCATGAATTAGTGGTGTACTTCCTTATGTGAAACTGGTCTATTGTGGTCATAAAAAATTGAATATATATGTTGTCATCCAGCAACAAATCAATGTATGTACTCAATGGTTTTATCTTGATCACCATTATTACATATTATGAAAGTTTTATGGATGGCATAATGATTTGGACGGCCGTTATTGAATATATGTATAAATGATGAGTAAGGATATGCTCCATTTGTCTTTGTTACAATTATGTACCCTATCCTCGTTTACAACATCACCCAATGCAACTGCTTTTTACTTGTCTTGAACAACATAACAGGTACCATTATTGGAGCAGGAATACGTACCCTTCCAGAGCACATGGGTTCACCTTCAGTCTTTTTAGTAGACTGTTCTTTGTCTTTTCGCCTTTTTCTTTTGTCCAATGCATTGTCCATTTTTTTTTTTTGGCGTATAAATGTTTTGCTGGCCTTTGTTATCTACCCTTTTTACTGGGTAATAGTTTCATAGTTTTCAGTATCCTATATAAGACAATATCTTACCAAATTGACGTCAACTGTTCTTTCCCATGAGGTTGTTTCCCCACCAATACCAGCATTATTTATCACAACGTCCAAACGACCAAATCTATCTTTTGTACTTTTGAAGAAGGCTGGAAGATGGGAAAGAAATCTAAATACAATCTAAAAACTAAGAATCACATGTTTCAGTTTAACGTTTTCTTCTTGTATGTTCATTACTGAAATTGAAAATTGAAGCTGTGTTTGGTATTTCGTCTTTTAATTGAGTTTATAATTCTACTGTATGAACCATGCATAGCAGGTGATGCCTACCACGTCGACATTTTTTTTAAGGAGTAAATTTTGAAAAAAACGTTGGTGACGTCACGGTCACGTGACAAAATTATGTCTATGCGCTGATAGACAAAACACTTTCAGTCAATCGGATATATGTTACATCCAAAATTAAATCATTAACTGATATGTTTATACCATCTTTATAAATAAAACCAACACTGCAATCCTTGTTTGTTGTTATAAATTAGAGCGCTTTTAAAAGTTCTTTTGCTAAGGGCCCTTTGTTTGAATAGCACGGTTTTTTCCCGATCTTGATATTTCATAAGTTAATTCTATAAAGTCTTGTTTGTTTAGTAAACGGGGTCAAAAGTAGTCGTTACAGTTATAGTTATGCATGGTATAGTGGGAAAAAAACGCAAGTTTATCAGTCCAGATCATGATGGAATTCTTTAGATATGTTAAAACAGTATTATCTCACTCAAAGCTTTCGTAAATGTCAATCAAGATAGCAGTGATTGACTGATATATGTGCCAGGTTGAAAGTAAACTTTACTTAACAGTTAAGGTCACACGCGCCCTTGGTTTGATTACCACCGAGATAATTTTAATGCCAGATTTGTGAAGATTAAAGATAATATCTGCAGAAATGTTTCAAATTAAACAAGAGAAATGGAAAGAATTCGTTTCGACAAAAACAAAATGTTTTACATTGTAGTGATTCATATTCTACTATACCAGCACACATTGTAGTGATTCATATTCTACTATACCAGACATTGTAGTGATTCATATTCTACTATACCAGCCATTGTAGTGATTCATATTCTACTATACCAGACATTGTAGTGATTCATATTCTACTATACCAGACATTGTAGTGATTCATATTCTACTATACCAGACATTGTAGTGATTCATATTCTACTATACCAGCACACATTGGCTGTGAAATAATGGCATTATTTTAAGCCAGAAGGGTCGAACCCTGAACAGTTGAGGCAAGTATGGACATTACATTCAAGCTTGATAAAGCTCTGAATTTGGATTGTGATTAAATATTTGACACAGCATAGGTTTCTGACACAGAATGAATGTGGTCAAAGAACTGAAAAATTTGAAATTGGACTTGTACCTATTATGGTCCAATATCCAAAATCTAAATACATGCTGTACACAATTAGATTCGGCATATCCAAGTACACCAAGAATTTAATTTATCTATTTATTGGAAAATTAATTTATACAGAATAACAAACAATCTACCACAAAGTTCTTCAAAAATTTACAAACAACATGAAAAAAAAATCCAAAATATCATTCCTCATTAATACAAAGTCTTTAAAAAATCTATAAACCTTACCTCTAATTATTTTTCAAAACTACTAATAATGAACAGTAAATTTTAAACTATATCTATACATCATTTCTTCTCTAAAATAAGATTTGATGCTGTAACTAGATTAAACTATGGCTCAACTTACAATTTCTATCAATTGTACATACCTCTCCGAATTTTGATTCTGACTAAATATTTGACATATCATAGTTTCTGACACAGAATAAATGTGGTCTAAGTACTTAAATAATTTGAAATTGGACATTTACCTATTATGGTCCAATCTCCAAAATCTAAATACATGGTTAAAATCAGAATATCAACGAACAAACAGTTTAATTTGGGATCCTTTGGACCTTAATGTGGACCAATTTGATAACAAGGCCTAAAATCAAAAATCTTAATACACGTTTAGATTCCGCATATCAAAGAACCCCCATTTGTTCATTTTTTGTTGAATGTAAACAAAGTCTAATTTTAGACCCCAATTTGGACCAACTTCAAAACTGGGCCCAAATATCAACAATCTAAATACATGTTTAGCTTCAGCATATCAAAGGACCCTTTGAATTCAATTGTTGTTATAATCAAACTTAGTTTAATTTTGGACCCTTGGGATCTCAATGTGGACCAATATGAAAACCAGTCCAAAAATCAAAAATTTAAATACTCGCGATCGGTTATATTCATTTTTATTTAAATCAAACAAAGTTTAATTTTGAACCCTTTGGACCTTAATGAGAATCATTTGAAAACGGGTCCTACAATCAAATATCTAAATACAGGGCTAGATTCGGCATATCAAAAAACACCAATAATTCAATTTTTTTATGAACTCAAACAAAGTTTAATTTTTGACCAAATTAATGTGGACCAATTCAAAAAGGGGCCCAAATTCCCAAATCTAAATACACGCTTAGATTCAGCATATTATAGAACCCAAAGAATTCAAGACTTTGAATTAAACCACATTGAATTGGTCAAGAAATAAGCAATTTATACAAAGTATTAGCAAAGTATTGTTTTTTGCTCCTTTTTCTTAAAATAGTCAGAGCCGTAACCTCCAAAATCAATCCCAACCTTCCTTTTATGGTATGGAACCTTGTGGTACAATTTCGTAGAGATCCATACACTTATACACAAATTATTGTCCTTAAACAAGAAAAAAGCTTGTTGTTGGCCCCTAGGTAATCCTTTACAGTTAAGATAATAACCCCCAAAATCAATCCAAACCTTCCTTTCGTGGTATGGAACCTTGTGGTACAATTTCATAGAGATCCATACACTTCTACACATATTATTGTCCTGAAACAAGAAAAATGCATGTTTTGGGCCCCTCTTTGTCCCCTAATTCCTTTGCAGTTAGGACAATAACCCAAAAATCGATCCCAACCTTCCCTTAGTGGTATGGAACCTTGTGGTTCAATTTCATAGCGATCCATACACTTATTTTCAAGTTATTATCTGGAAACCAAATGTCTTCGCACAATGACAACGCCGACAACGACGATGCTGACAACGCCATAACATTATACGACATGTCTACAAACAAAAATATGATGATGGATGGCTGTTTAACGTCCAGTGGCAAATTAAACGCGTACAGAGGTAAACATGTCATCTTACCCGGACACATTATTCTGACTCCGAGCCGATCAGTCTTTCCTCTTACTTCCTAATGTCGTGTGCTGGCGGTCAATTTTATTTTTATTTAATTTAATTGACATGGCGGGTGATCGAACTCATGGTATGCATGAAAATATCATTTTCAAATAACTGTTTGCAGGATAAAAACACAATTTCGAATACTGGTGCGCCTTGATTTTTTTCATCCAGTTTCTAAAGCTGGGAAAAAAAACAATTTCGTTTTTTTTTGAAAATGTAAGTATACATTCATATGTTCCATAAAATAGTATTACATTTATTTACAGCATTTTAGATCCTGGACGATTTAGAACCTAGCGTATGGAAACCTGTCTATTACTGAAGACTGTATGTTGACCTCAGATTAGAGGTCTTTTGGTAAATTATGTCGTTGATTTGCTATCTGAATGTCGTATACTTTAATAAAATGTATACTATCAAGAGAAAGAATCTACTTTAGTAAAGAGGAAGAATCTGCTCAGATCACAGACGTTTTTAGGTATACCGGTATATTGTATGTAAATCACATATCGCTGTGAAAAGAATAGATTAAGCCTATGACAGAAAGGATATCAAATATCTGTCAGTGAATTAACAAAAAATAACTGGGGAAAAACTTAATTTTAATCGTTGTATTATGCATGGGCAGACACTATGAGATAACAACTTCTGACATTTTGATGAATTCTTTAATGTTTGAAAGAAAAACATTACACCATTTCTTTAAATAAAAAAACCCAGATTGTTCATAGATATTTTCAGTAAATGACATTCAATATGTATAAAAGAAGGCGTGATCTTATATATCAGAAATTGCCTTTTTTATAATGATGTTTTGTGCTCATGATGTTAAACGCATAAGTGCCGTGTATCAAAAGTAAGATAACAAGTTTCGTTGTTGCTGAATAGTTTGTATTCTTTGCAGAACAGTTTTAATATTCTATTTTTGACTTTTAAAAAAGGGGTTTTAATTTTCTTTATATTTAAGTATCCGGGACTTAATGTTAAGAATATATTGATAACAGTACATTCGGTAGAATATAATAGACTCTTGTTTGATCGTACGTGCATGTATGTGTCCATATAAAATTTTTATGTTGAAAGAAATGTTTAAATGTGACAAAACACGTTTCATAAATATTTCTGATTTTCATCGTTTTGTAATTATGGGTTTGAAGTAAATTCAGTGATATCTTGTATATGAGCAAAAACTGGGCGACTCGGAGTCCGGAAACATGTCAACGTAAAATACTATGTTGACACGTCCACCTACGGACGATACCTTGTTAGCTAACATGTTAAAATTCTGCATTTCCTTTTGAAGATTATGAAATTTTGATATTGATTTAAAAAATGAGTTTGCTGGTTCCAACAAAATTTTAAAAAGTTTACAATAACTAGAAATCGTTCACAATGCAATATTTTCGTAAGCTGACAGAAGAGGACTTATTAAGTTAAAACTTCACCAATTTAAATTTCAAAGAGTTTATCCAAGGCGTTTATATCTCAAGTTATGTGAAAAATAATCGTTCTCAGCTAACTTACAAATTAATTTAATCAATTTAAATTAGATTAGTGTGCATGTTGTTTTTGTACTGTAAATTTTGTTAATTATGTGTTTTACATAATGCAGAAAGAATTTGAAAGAGTTTAAATATACCTGTAGTAGAAGGAGATATTAAACTATCTTTACGATCAGTTAAAACGACCTTTGCTTATTGTATTGTAAGATTGCAAAGTGATTACAAATATCTTATCTTTAAGTTATTTACAACGTAACAGTGTCTTATCCAGTTTTGTAAATAACATCACATTTCTACAGTAGGTCAGTCAATCCACGCACCGAGAATTCAAGAGCATATTATACTAGTAATATTATAGATATTAATATCAATCAATTACTGTCTTTTGATGAGATAAATATGTGGTTTTATTGACTTTTGAAAAACTGATATTCACTGAGGCCAACGGTATTCTATATTCCTAGAAACAATGCATTTAATGACAATTATTTAACTAAACCAATTGTACATCAAACATTTTACCATAACGTTATAAGTAAAAGCACGTGACGGTTAGCGCGGTGAATATCCTTTTTCTTTAGGTCAGAGACATATAATACAATATATGTCTCTGTTCAGGTACATCAAAAATTTGATCATAACATTACATGTGAAAGCACGTGACGTTAATACTTTTTCCACAAGTGAATATGCTGTTTTATTCAAAATCCAAATCATATAGAAAAACCTACTTGAATAATACCAATGTGGAATAATGGTACACATTTGACGAATGTTTCCTGGTCTAAATTAACTCATTAAGACCAATACTGCTGACCGGTTTTTCAATGTATTGGACAACAAATTGTTTAGTGTCTAGTTTTATATATGACTCGTATATACGTCTTCTTATGCAATCGAAGAAAACTTGGTCAAATATCTTTTTGTAAAAGACAGACACTCTAAAGGAATACTGCTCTAATCCCCCGAAGAACAGCAAAAAAGCACGGTTTCTTTGCTTGGGTATTTTCAAGTATATATGTGTGCGGATATTGTGACATGAATTATTATACTATTTTCCATCTTTTTTTAAATGATTTTAAAAGTGACATAGCTGGCAAGAAATGAAACTTTTTTCTGTAAGTAAATCAAATGCTAAACTCTAAAAACTTGATACTACCTTGATGAATAAATCAAGCAATTAGTTTATCAACTAATTACTAGTAACCAATAGATAACTTTCGATAAAAAAATTGTGCAGTCTGTTCAGAATATTGGTTGCATTTCGAAGGGTCGAAAGGGTAAGTTTAGTGATACAACTAATCGCTACAGACCTTCATGTCGGATAGGTGAATATACCAATTATTTACAACGTGCGTTATGTTGATTTAATGGTTACCGAAAAAACAAACTCGTACTGTAGACATCTCTTTCTTTTTACCGCGACGGGTACCTAATGTTCTGGGTTTTTTTTACAGTCATAAGTAAATACGAACCTGCCATTTCATCCTGACTGGTGACATTACATTTCTGGAACATCACTTTACTTTCGCCATATTTGTTTTGTAGATTTTGTAGAGTTTCTTTTCCTGCGTCATCATTGATATCACAGAATGAAACCTAAAAAAGAGAAAATATCTCTTATGCATAACATATCGTCGGTTAAGATCTTTTTTGACGTATACTGGATTTCACGAAGTGCTTGAAAGAACGAGCCAAAGGCTCGAGGGCTGATATCGACCGAGTATTAATAATACATATAATTTGAGAAATGTCATATGATCTTTTTATCATATACTTCCACTTTTGAAAAATATTCATGCATAAAAATGTTTTCATTAAAAACAATTTCAACATCTACTTTGCAATTTATACTACAAGGCAACAACTTAGGAAGTGGAATAAACCATAGAATACTTAAATGTACTAATATTTTTTTTCGAATTTTAACTTAGCATATCAGTATGTTAAAGACTTTGAAAACAATGAATTATTGGATAATTTAATTTGCATTTTTTGTTATATGTTTTCCTGCATCTTAATATTTGTTCTTTCATTTTACAATTGTTGTTTGTTTCATTTGAAACGTAAAGCTTGTACATTTCTGTAATATGCCGAATGAGGAAATTAATCGAGGCTACTATTTCGGATAGTCAAGGCTAAACACAACATTATTCCTATAATTATATTGAGTGTCAATTTTTAATTCAAACCAGTATAAAAAAAAAATCTTATTTTTAAAAGGCTTCATAAGACAATTTTTTTCAAGCAGACGAAAATGTTTTCAATGTTTACTTCGAATTGTATCGAAATTATTCCATACATAAAACTCTATGGGGATACAGGCAACAAATGCGCTAAGTTCCTCCTACCCACGAGAAAGTAATATTGACAATTAACAACAGATGTACGCTACTCTCGTGAACATACTATTAACTATTAACAACAGCTGTACTGACCCCCCTCCCCCAAATCTATTTTAGCTCCTATAGAAATACAAATAAATGATCATCAAAGAACATTCTCACAAAACGTATAATAATATTTAGTTTGAATATACACTATGAAGTTTTCATAAATGTAATACATATATCATACAGTGAAGATTGAATGTTATTTACTTTAATCATATGATAACAAAAAGTATCATTTAAGTCGAACTTAGCGGTCGCCTTGCCTTTGCTGTAATCTGTGAGCTGTTTATGTTATTGTGAAAAGTAAAATAACAAAAATTCCGAACTCCAAGGAAAATTCAAAACGGAAAGTCCCTTATCAAATGGCAAAATCAAAAGCTCAAACACATCAAACGAATGGAAAACAACTGTCATATTCCTGACTTGGTACAGGCATTTCCTTATGTAGAAAATGGTGGATCAAACCTGGTTTTATAGCTAGCTAAACCTCTCACTTGTATGACATATAGAATTCAACAATGTGTGAGCTAAACAAATACACATAGTAGGTAAAAATGTCAAAAATTGGGATACAGCAGTCAACATTGTTGTGAAAGACCTTCCAGTGACTGTCAAGATGAACATTGATAAAAGAATTGAAATACGTGTATGTTACCAATTTCCTAGAATTTCCTTAATTTCTTATACGTATACATCCACCTCCTTTCTTCCTTCCTGTTAATAAATGAAAGCTATCTACCTTCCTTATGACAAAATGTAAACAAAAAAATACATAACAAACAAAATTCATTGTGAAAACAAATGTGGAGCATTTAAAGGGTTAATCGAACAATCTATGAGTCGTAATAACGAGCGTTAAAAACTAATTGTTTTCGAATATTAGAAAAATATGTATTTTCAATTTATAATGAATAAATAAATACATAGTTTTTTCGAAATAATTTACGCCTGTGTGATATGGGAATGTTGGAAGTACATATACTATAATTCATCTAACCTTCAAGTTTACTCGGCATGCGATTGACAACATTGACAAACCTTCATTTTCTCAACTGATATTGTTAACACAATTACCCGTTTACATCTCATCATTCATTGAAAAGTTACAATGAATATCAGACTTTCTACATGTAAATAAAAATATCACCATATCTTTTTTTTTAATATTTAATCTGATGTATGGTTGCAATGTTTTCCAATAAGATCTTACCTTTGATTTCCTTTCAAGGAATATTTCTACAAATGCCAGTCCTATTCCCGAAGCCCCTCCAGATATAACAACAACTTTACCCTCGAGAAAATGCATGTTCACTTTTCATTTATGTAAATAAAATATTTAAACAGAACCACCCCACACGTTTTTATTATTGTTAAGTGACCATTTCCTTTTTTTTTCATAAAGTGAATGGATGAGGAAACATTGACAGTCTCTCACGTTTATATCACTTTCATCTGGGAGATTATTTTATCGGAAATGTCAAGTGATTGTTGGTGATATAATCTACAGTTACTCTTTATAACTTCTATATGTAGGCTGACTATATATATATATATATATTTAGATGACTGAATAATAGCCAACGATAAATCTTACGGGGTGATGGATCATATAAATATGATACAGTACACTACAAAATATAATATATAACCAGTCTAAAAGGGTACAACATCACCAAAAAATAACTGGAAACAAATGATGTAGGAAAATGAGTGATGGTAGGGGAAATGAGTGACTCATTTGTTTCCAGTTACTCCGGCTTCCTTACTTGACTCTTACAGTTTTTAGGATTCTTTTTGAATTTTTTGAATTTTACTAGTTTAAATACCAGGGTTCTTTTCATTTGGTAGGGATGTACAAGTACGCATCCACGTCCAATTATTTAACCTTAGCCCAAATTTACTATTATTTTTTCTTTTCATTATAAAACTGCTATTTATTTGGGATGATAAATACGCAGCCTCTATTTGACATATTTTACCAGCTTATATCGATCAGTGCTGTTTTTTTTATGGGAATGTATTTACACGCAGTTGTTAATTGTAACATCTTAACTGACGTCATTTTGGAATTTTAGAGTTGTGCCAGTTCATATCTCTAATTACTATTTTCATTTTAGGCACGTTTTTGAGTCGTTTTTTGGAAATTTTAAAAATTTATTAACGTCTCTACATATGATGTTCGGGTAAAACTCTTTCACTTTTTTATTGTATAGAATTCAAGATTGCTATAGTTTAATAATCAGAATAGATTGATCTGATTCATTTTACATCGGGCTCATACTGATGAAGGATATCTGTTGTCCGAAATATTTATAGTTACATTTGCTCGTTTATTGTCATTTTTTGGTGATGTTGTATCCTTTTAGACTGGTTATATATATATTTAGATACACATTTGTTATAACACATAAGTCTACCTATAAGTCATGGCTTACTGAGTGTGTCCGTGTACATGTTTGTGTTTTTGGCAAATGCGAATACACCTACTATCCAGAAACCTTATTGAGGGAATTAACGTACATTGTGATTTGTCCAAAATATCCTTCATTATATACCTTGAAACATTACTAATAATACTAATAGGCAGTGTCATTGGAAATACCGCCAACATTTGCAACCCAACAATTTAAAATGAAAAGGCTACTTCTGGTCGCAGCATGATACGACCGCATTATGTCGACAAGGGAAAGTTGATCAAGGGTACGGAAAGGAAAGGAATGTTGTCTCGGTACACATGTATTTTGCTGTAGACAGTAATATGTTGGACATAGTAATGTATATGATACGGTTGTGTGTTGGACACAATAATGTTGTTTCTGATGATGATGTTTTCTGCAGCGGCAGTTTTCAACCAATAAAATTGAACTTCCTGTAATAGCGAACATATTTAGAACCTGCTTTCCTAATCATTTGCTATTAGCTGCACTGTGCAGGGTTTGTTTTTGCGACATATAGTCTAGATATACTAATGGGGATATTTGTGCATACGTAAAGCTGGTATCACCACAGTTCCAGCAGTCAACACTCATGTGCTGAGATGAAATGTCAAAGTAATATGCTGGATACAGATGTCTGCTAGACATAAAAATAAGGTGGACAAAATAATATTGTAAACACAGTAATATGCTGGATACAGATATCTGCTTGACATATGCATATGGTGGACAAGGTAATATGGGGAACACAGTAATATGATGGATACAGTAATGCTGAACACAGAAATCTGTTAGACATAAAAATAAGTTTGACACAATAATATGGTGGCCACAGTAATATGCTGGACATAGGAATATACTGGACACAGATATCTGCTGAACATAGTGATTTGCAGGAAAGTAATATAGTGGACATAGTAATATCCTGGACACAAATATCTGCTAAACATAGTAATACCTGGACACAGTAATATGCGCTGGAAAAGTAAGATGCTGGACACAGTGATATGCAGGACACAGTTATATGCTGGACACAGTAATAGGCTGGACAGTTAAATACTAGACAAAATCCATCTCCAAATTTAGATATTTTCTACGAATATAATCCCACAAATTTAAGGACATTATTATATTGGAAATTATAAGGTCATTACTTTATTAAAAAGGCTTTCCAAATTCATATTCAACTCTTAATTATGATCTGTTTAGATTCAATTAAAATAATTACCAAGACTGTCGATATGGCAAATGGTTTGACAGAAGACAGTTTTCATTATTTTACTTTGAATGCCCGTTTTCTGCACTAAATAGAGTACTAAAAAAACTGTGAAAAATTCGAATCTAAATCCGATCTGATAAATCTATTTAAAAAACACCAACAGTGATTTTGGAAATTTAAAGGAAAAAAACAAAAAATAAAAAGATGCTGAGATGTTTGAAGTTATGTCTGACGTATCATTAGCCACAAACCCCGAGCTAAAATGTTATTTTACGCGACGTCAAACTGTGAATAATCGGGAAAAGATGCCTTTTTCGAGTGATTTTGATCATTAGCTTGAAAACGAGTACATGGACCCCTCTTTTTTAAATGACGTTTGGCTTGATACTGTATGAAGATTATTTGTTCCAATTTTTATGAAGAATTCACCGATGATTTTTTTAAATAAGACTGAGAAATAAACGGCAAAAAATGCTGTTATTTTCTAAAATCATAAAAATTCAATAACTAGAGGCTCTCAAGAGCCTGTGTCGCTCATGCACCTGTAGATCT